ACTTTTTTTTTTTTGTTCCACCAAGCTTATCTTTTTTTTCTGCGCTATCCATAATGATTATGATGATGATGATGATGATGAAATGACGAACAAATTCTTTATCTTGATCACATTCATGATGATTATGATGAGAAATTCAATTGAAGATGATGATGACCTTAATGTTTACATTTTTTTTTTTTTTTTGACAATTCCTATTTGACAACTGATGATGGTTGATGAGAAAAAAAATGACAGCAACACCCAAATGTGGATCATGTTATTTATTTTATTTATTTTTTTTTTTGAAATTATCAAAATCTAATCCGATCATATCATTTTGAATTTTTTTTTACTTTTGATTTTGAATCTTACCTACGCATTTTGTTTCATGAAAATGAATGAATTCTCTCTCTCTCTCTCAATCTGTATGTGTGTTTAGGTCATTGATGTATTGATGATGATGATGATGATGATCTAGTTTTGTATCAAACATGAAAACATCAAATTTGTCGCCATGTGATAAATGGCCATCGGGTTGACCACAGTTGGATATATTTATATTTAATGTCATTGTATATATGTTGTCCAAATGTTATCATATTGCTATAGTAAAATAAATGTTTGAAACAAACATAAAACAAACAAATCAATGAAAATCAGGACAAATTGATCATAAACTTTTGTTTTGGCTGATTGTCATTGTTTATATTGTTTTCTACAATTATTATATCATGTTTTGATTTTGTTTTTTGATCAAAAAAAAAAAAATCAACAAAATCATAAAAATTAGGATCATCCTCTCCATCATCATCCATATCAACACATGAAAATGTTTGAAAACCACGCGATGGAAACATTTTTTTTTTTTTTTTTTTTGGTATTTATTTCTCGGTTTTATCTATCGAGTGTTCTTGATTTTTTACCTGAAGATCAAGATTACACCTTAATCGAATTGATATTTGTGTGTGTGTGTGATTTCAGTATGTATTATTCGATTGAGGAAAAAATGGAGAGAAAAGGGCGAAAAGAACAACCAAACATCATCATCATTTGACATTCATCATCATCCATTTGTTTGTTGTTGGTTAGTTTTCTAAATTTAGAAAGTTTTCCATAAACAAACAAACAAACAAGATTTCCGTGCTTACAGCTAATTGTTATTATTTTGCTATTTTCAATTGATTTTTTTCTCCTTTCTTCTTTTCAAACCAGTATATATTTACTGTGAATATCGGTCAAATTAGATGACAAATCAAAATCAAACGCAAAAGTTAAAAAAAATTATTCACTGATTTCATAAACGAAAATTGAATGTAAACACACACACATCACATATACAACAATGAGAATATGAATGAATTACATAAATTTATTAGACCTTGGTTTTGGTCAACCTTTCACATATTCATTCATCATTGCTGAATCTGGATATCCAATCATAGGCGCAGACTTTCTATCACATTTCCATCTACTTCCAGATCTCAAAAACAAATTGCTAATTGACCCTGACAACCAAAGGACAGTCAAAGCATATACTAAATCAACAGACATCTACGGAGTATCAACAATCAATCAAGATATTGACCCACGAGTGAGAGAATTATTGTCTAAATTCCCCTCGATCACTAGAACCAAATTAACTCCGGAAGTCAAACACAATGTCAAACACAGCATCCGTCTAACAGATGAGAATGAAACAGTGTTCGCTCATCCTACACGTCTAGATCCAATCAAGCTAAAAGCTGTAAAGGATGAACTCAACAAGATGCTAGAATCGGGAATCATACAAACGTCATCGTCATCATTCGCTAGTCGAATAGTTGTCGTTCCTAAAGCTAACGGTCAACTACGATTATGCGGTGATTATCGTATGTTAAACAGAATCACCATTCCTGATCGCTATCCAATCAAGCACATAGAAGATTTCTCGCAAAGTCTTCGTAATACAAAGATCTTCTCAACCATCGATCTATTATCAGCATTCCATCAGATCCCCGTATGTGAGGAAGATCGTTTCAAAACAGCAATAACAACACCAGTTGGTTTATACGAGTACATTCGATTACCATTCGGATTACGAAATGCTCCATCAACATTCCAACGATTCATCGATCAAGTCTTTCGTGAACTTGACTTCATCTATTGTTATCAGGACGATTTACTAATTGCATCCGAAAATGATCAACAACATATCAATCATTTGGAAAAGGTTTTCAATAAGTTGAACGAATATGGACTCACCATCAACATTGAAAAATCAAAGTTTTTCCAAACCGAAGTGAAATTTCTGGCTCACATTGTAGACAAAAATGGTATCCGTATATCACCCGATAAGTTGAAAGCCATCGATGAATTTCCTCAACCTGATTCATTGAAATCTCTCAAACGATTTATCGGCATGGCCAACTACTATCGTCGATTCATACCACATGCAGCCAAAATTATGTCTTCATTGCATTCTATGTCGAAAACTGATTTCGAATGGACCGATGAAAGATTAAAGGCATTCAATGACATCAAAGCCGCACTTCGTGAACAAATTACATTATCATTCATTGATCCAAAGGCTAAACTAGTTATCAAAGCCGACGCATCTGATCATGCCATAGGTGGATGCCTAGAACAAATCACCAGTGACAACAAAGTTGAACCACTTGGTTTCTGCAGTAAGAAACTGCGTCCTGAAGAATTTCAGCTAGCACCATTTGACAAAGAACTTCGTGCAGCTCATCATTGTGTCAAACACTTCGAACATCTCATAGAAGGCAGACAGTTCACATTATATACTGACCACAAGCCATTGGTCAATGCCCTATTAGTTCGAACAAATGTCAAAAGATCGCCAATGCAAATGCGATTAATGTCATACATTCTCGAATTCACCTCAGACATACGACACATATCCGGTACTGATAATGTAGTCGCAGATTGTCTCAGCAGAGTAGAAATCGAAGCAATCACATCATCCGATCCATCATCTTCATCAACAGAATCATTATCAATTGAACCAATATCATTACAAATGATTGCAAATGAACAACACAATCAACTCGAAGAGATGGAATCATACCGAACAGAATTTGGTCCACGTATCAAACTACAACGTATCGATGATCAACTAATCTTGGTACACGTCGATGACAAATCTCCAATCCGACCAGTCATACCATCATCTCTCCATAAGAGAATCTTTCATTTATGCCATGGACACGATCATAAATCAGCCAACAAAACACGACAAATTGCAGCTGATCGCTATTTCTGGAAATCCATGAATGCAGATATCAAACAATGGTGTCGAACATGCCAAAATTGTCAAAAGTCTAAAATCCATAGACACACCATTGTTCCACCCAAACAAATCGATATTCCAAAAATTCGATTTTCACACATCAACATCGATATTGTTGGACCATTACCACAATCACCAATTTCTGGAAACAGGTACTTACTAACATGCATCGACCGTTTCACCAGATGGCCGGAAGCAATACCGATGTCATCCATTTCCTGCCGAAAATGTTGCCAACCCATTCGTGACACACTGGATCAGTCGCTTTGGAATACCAGACGTTGTTACAACCGACCGAGGAACTCAATTCGAATCTCAACTGTTCCACGAGTTGACAAAACTAATTGGCACAAAACATATTCGCACGGCAGCATTCAACCCACGTGCAAATGGAATGATTGAACGTTTTCATCGCACATTAAAAGTTCAATCATGGCAACAGGACAACAATGGGAACAAATATATGACAAATCAAAATCAAACGCAAAAAGTAAAAAAAAAAATTATTCACTGATTTCATAAACGAAAATTGAATGTAAACACACACACATATATACAACAATGAGAATATGAATGAATTACATAAATTTATTGATGATGATGACGATGATGAGAATAGATTTTCCATTCATTTGAAATGAATATGAAAAATGTTTTTTTTTTGTATTCAAATGAATGTTGTTGTTGTTGTTGTTGTTGTTGTTGTTGTTGTTTTTTTATTCATTTTTTCTGGCGTTTCTAATTCTAACAATTCCATTTATATATACAAAATATAATCATGGCCATATCAGTTATGATATAAATATGTTGAAAATCGAAAAATTCGGACTATCATACAAAATGTTGTTGATGGTGATGATGATGATGATGATCAAAATTGATCATCCGGAGTCCGGACAAATATTTACCATTCGAATAATAAATGTTTATTACAAAGTCAAAGAGCAAAGTTGTAATGTTGTTAACAACATATAACATTTCATTGAATTCATTCTGGTTTGTTTGTCTCATTTCCTTTCATTTGTGTGTGTGTGTGTGTGTGTGAATTTATCATTTTGAAAATATAAATTTTTGGGCGGTTATTAGTACATAGGAGATCAAAAATCAGCTACAATAATAGTTTGTGTTTTGTTTATTTCTTTCTTTTTATTCTGATTCAGTTTATGTTTGTTTGTTTGTTTGTATGAATTGTCCAATCATTTTCGATTACATGTCCGAATAAACAAACAAACAAACAAACTAGACATAAATAAATAGAAAATTGAATGATGATGGTTGATGAATATTATAGACTTGAAATAACAAACGGTAGTTATGGTTTCATCTATCAATGAATCATATATGATGTTTGATCTAGATCTATCCGAACAAAATATGAAAATCAAACAGTTCGGTTCAAAGTTCAAATTGGATATAGATAGAGAACAGAAGCGGAAATTTTTCGTTTTCTCGTATTTTGTCACGCAAATTATCATGAATCACAAATGGTTTGCTTTGATATAAATTCTTTTTATTTTATTTTTTTTTTGGTGAAAATTATGAAATTCGAAATAGATTAACGCCATCTTTTGGTGATTTCAGTTAGCTTGTAAATGAAATTCTCAATAATAGATGTCGTTATAAAAGTTAGTGATTTTTAAAATTTATTTATTTTACAACAACAACAACAAAAAAAACATAATTATAATAACGATGACGATGATAATGATAAAAGAGGATTGAATAAACAATAATAATAAGGTAAATCACAAGGTTCGAATATGATGATGTTGGATGTTGAAATTAATATTTTTTTTCTGGATCGGTACTTTGGAATTTGGTTAAGCTGTTGTTGGGAGATTTGTTGGTGGAGAAGAAGAATTATTATTCATAGATGAATCTTGTTGTGTTGATAATGTTGTCGGTTGCTGTTTGGATTGTTGTGGTAATTGTTGAAGCTCATAATGTGAACCTGATTGTGAATTTTGTGATGGTATTTCTGAATATGATGATACATCACCAATGTCCTGTATACAATCTAAATCACAACAACAATTTTCTACATTCGAATTTGATCCATTTAAATGTTGATGATGATTGGTTTTCATGCCCTGTAGCCAATAGGTAGTCATTTTACCTTTTCCTTTAACATCAATTTCACCACGTAGGACAAGATCGAATTCGGATAATTTATCCAACAATGTTTTCGTATATGAACTGACATGAATCCTAAGGGCTAATTATTATCATCATAAAAATTATTATTATTATTAATAAATGAATAATTTACATCAATAAAAATCATACCTTGTCCAGTTGATTCCATTCTAGACGCTGTATTGACAGTATCACCAAATAAACAATATCTTGGCATTTTTAAACCAACAACACCAGCAGCACAAGAACCAGTATGTATACCGATTCTTAGCATTAGTTTTTCATCAGGACGATGTCTAATCTTAAATGATCGTACAGCATTCAACAATGCCAATGACATTCGTGCAATTTCACCACCATGACGTTCACCATTTCGTACTGGTACACCAGATACAACCATATAAGCATCACCAATTGTTTCCACTTTATATACATCAAAATTCTCCAGAATCGAATCAAAACATGTATAAAGATCATTGAGTAGATTTACAACTTGCATCGGTGTACTTTGTGCCGATATATTAGTGAAACCAACAATATCGGAAAAATAAATAGTCACTGAATCATATGCTTCAGCACGAACTGATTCACCACTAATCAATTGGCTGGCTACCGATCTATAGATGATGAAAACAAAAACAACATTTCAAAATCAATTTTTTTCCAATGTTCATTCCAATTTAAAACTATTACTTACTTTGGCAACAATTGATATAGTAAATCTTCAGCTTTACGTTTTTCTTCCAGATAATCGGCTGTACGTTCTTGTACTAATGATTCTAAATTGGTAGCATATTGTTCCATACGTTTAAGTAGATTGTCCAATATATTTGAACTTTCATTTTCTCTGAAATACAACAACAACAACAACAACAAAAACAACAAAAAGAAATAGAAATAGATTGATTAATGGCTTATTATTGATTGATATGGAACGAAACAAATGAAAATAAAAAATTGTTTTCCCACCATTTTTAAGTATTCTCATCATCATCATAATTATTAACGAAATGAAACCATATATATACGGATTCGAAATTGATGATGATGATGACAAAATCTAGTAAAAATCGTACAGTCAAATTAAAAATGTGGATCAATGTTATTTGGACACAAAGAATAGAATTTCGTTTCGTTTCGTTTCAATTGAATTCAGTTTGAAACTAGAGAATTTGAGGAGCAAATTAATACGAATTTTTTTCAGTCATTATATCCCCTTGAAAATCTCATTGAATTGATCGATCGATCATTCTCATTATTTTCATTTGTTCACAAAAAAATTCACTCACACTCACACATTCATGATATAGATATCAGCATTTTCAAATAAAATAATGCTTTTCAATCAAGAATCAAAGATTTCCGATTCTTTTATTGACATAATCATGATTTTTTTTCCTACTTTTTCTACTTTTTCCTTTTTGTTGCCGTTGTTTATTGTGTTTGAATATATGTCCCAGACAATTTATTCAGAATACCCAAGAGTCCTTTTCATCATCATCATCATCATCATCATCATTATTATCATCAACAACAACATTTATTCATTGAAATTTTCGTTTTTGTTGTATACGTAAATGAATTTTAAACGATTTTTTTTTGTTGAAAAAGAAAAACAAATTAACATTTAATTGAAGTGAATGAAAAAACTTTCAAAAAAAAAAAATTCTTATGAACTTTTTTTCCACTTTCGTTCACATAACAATAAAAATTCGTTTCCATTCTTTTTCTCTATTTTGCATGAATTTGTCACTACTAACTGTGGTAATGGATGATTGGGAAAAGAAAGTTAACAAAATCAAAGGCTAAATTGTGTTTGAAAATTTAACGATAAACAATAACAATTTTTTTTTTTTTGGACTAAATGCATAATAAATCGAAAAAAAGGGTTCGTTTTATTCTCATGAGATTCACGATCATTTTGTGTGTGCGTTTGTTAATTTAAATCAAAAATGATTTAAAATACGGAATTTCTTCTACCAAAATAGCCGTTGCTCAAATTGTAGATTATCAGATTTTCATTTCAAATCAACAGTGAAAAAACCATTTTATCTCAAATGATCGTGCGTGCGTTTGACAACGCCCTAAAAGCCACAGAATATTCGTGATCTCAATCTATGTTCTATGTGAATTATCGTAAATTCATATCACCATCATCATCATTAATATCATTCTTGTTAATCAAATCATCATCATTAATCTTGAAAACAAAATCATCAAATTGTCATAATATTGCAATTTACTTTAATATTCTGTTCAAAAAAAACACAAACAAGAATTGAAAATAAAAACTATATGCAAAACAATTTGCACAACACGAAATCATTATGTTATGAATATAATATAAAATAATAATAATTACTTATTGATCCGACGAATGATTGATTGTAATGATACAAAATCTGGCCGTTCATTTGGATCTTCATGCCAACATCGTCGTACCATTTGTAATACGGCTTCATCGGCCATATGTTCTTCTAATAATGGCCGTAGTAGTAATGGTGATGTTGAATGTTCTGTTGAATTATTTCCATTATTATTGGCAAGTTGGTAAATGATATCTAAAACGAAACGAAACAAACAGAAAAGAGAAAAGAGAGAGAGAAAAAAATCAAACAAAGTTAAACATTTTCAATGAATATATAAAAACACAATCAATCAATCATAACAAATTCAATGGTTTAGACAATTTCTTTTTTTCTTATTCTTACCTCTTGGACTTTGAGTATTTTCTTCACCCAAATAAAATACGCCTTGTCGTAGAATGATTTCATGTAAAATGATTGCAAAACTATAGACATCGCCTAAAGGTCATTATCATGAATGAATGAATGAATGAATGAATGAAATGGAAAGAAAAAAAAAATTTCGATCAAAAAAATTGTCCAATCATTCAAAAATCGAATAGGAAAACACCAAAAACAATTGAACCATAAAATCAAAATAGAATCAATCAATCAATCAATGAGAATGATTATTATGAATAATTTATGGCCATTGGCCATATTATTATTATTGGCACCATACACCATACCATACCTTTCTGTGTACCATGCATGAATTGTGAATGTAATTGCTGTATTTGTTTATTATCATTACATTCAGATGATTTAAGCCACAATCGTAATAGTTCCGGTGCTGTCCATAATTTTTCTATATTTTCAAACAAAAACAAAAAAAACAACATAAATTTATTCCAAATTGAAATTGAAGGAATGAATGAATGAAAAAAACAAATTATTATGATGATCATGATGATGATCATCATTGAAAATGATACCTCGTTTCAGAAAGAGAGAGAGAGAGAGAAAATTATAATAAAATGAAGCAATTTGCATAATAAAAGTTTTTTTTTATTCATTCATTCAAAATAGCCATCATCATAATCATTAAATTTTTTTTTCTTTCTACTTTCAATTACATTTATTTTTTTTCAATTCTTAATGGATGATAAAATGATTTCCTGTTATTGCTCTGAATTTTTTTTTTTTTTTTTTTTTTGAAAAGACCCAAGGTCCATTTTATTTTATTTTTTTCCTTCTTGTTTGAATTTGGTTTGAAATATGGAAAAATTCTTGATAATAGTGTAAACAGAAGAAAGAAAACTTTTGAAAAGAAAATGATCCGGAAAATCGACATACGAAAAAAAAAAAAATGAATGTCGATGATGATGATGATGTTCGCTTCATATAATGGTCATCAAAAGCCTAAAGCCATTTTTTTTTTTTTTTTTTTGCTTTTCTAGTAGTATCATCTCGATCATTTTCAAAATACAACTATAGTTTGAATGAAATAGAATCAATGAAAGAATAAATCGATCAATAAATTGGTCATGATAGAGGAAAAAAAATCCTGATAAGGCTACTGACTATCAAAACTTTTGCACAAATCAAAATATAAACAACAAAATGTTTATGATAACAAAAAAAAAAAAAAATATTCAAAGACAAATCCTAAATGAAATGATATCATAGTTCATGAGAATTGAAGAATTGATCGATTATTCACTGAAAACAATCCAAGAATTGTGAATTTGGACACATGAAAAAAATTTCATTCGAAACATAATAATATTGATTTTGGTTTGATGTAAGAATAAAGAATCGACAAAAATAGACAAGTCATTTTCGAAACCATCATATATGTCATATAGTGAACAACTTGTCAATGAATATGAGAAAAAAAATTGAGAATATGAAGTTCCAATGAATAATTGTCAAATAAATTGCTGTTTTTTTGAGATTGATTGAATAATCTAATTTTTTAAAATGTAAACAATAAGAACAACTTACTTCGCCAATATGCATAATGAGTATCGTCAACATTATGTGGTAACATTGGTGATCGATTTGTAGGTGTATAATCTTGTTGTCGTAATGAATGAAGACCAAAATCGGTTATTTTCAACACAAATCGACTGTCGACCACACAATTTGATGATTTAAGATTACCATGTACATGCATTTCGCTGGAATGTAGATATGCCATACCTTTAATAATATCATGCATCAATGAATAACGAAACATCCAATCCAATTTTATTTCATCATTTTCAAGTATATCTTGTAAAGAACCTTTAGGACAATATTCTGTTACAAGAAATGATGCATGTGGTTGATCAATACAAGCACCAATAAATGTAACTAAATGATTATGTTGTAAATTTTTCATCTACAAAAAAAAAAAAAAGAGAATAAGAAAAATGACAAATTGAAATTGAATCATTCACGTTAAACAAGAATAAAATAGGAATTCTTTCAAATTCTTTGTATTTTTAGTCATATGTGTTTTTTTCTCTTTCTCGTATCATATCATCTTACATTTTTTAATTCAATCAATAATAATCGTGTTAGCTCGATACGTTGTTTTTCAATTGGTTTCAATGAAACCAAAACACCACGATAGATACCATTTCTTGGTAATGAATTTTGGCCACAAATATTTCTTGTTCCATTCATTAATGGCATTGTATCTGATGATAATGAGGTCTATACAAAAAAAAATTTAGATTTGGATCGATCAAAACAAGAAAAATTTTTTTTTTTTTTTTGAAAACAAAAATACATACCCTAGCTAGACTCATACGTGAACCAATTTTAGCCATATACATCATATCTGAACTTGCAGTGACAATATCTTCACAACGAATTTTCCATGTCATCGATGCAAGTTCAGCTTCCAATCGATAATGGCGATAAACAAGAATAAATACGACAAATAAAAATAATAATAAAAATGATAAAACCACGGCAGTGATGATCAATACTAATTGTGATCGTAATTCAGCTTCAGCGAGACAAAGTTCGCCTTCAAATCCGCATGGTGGTGTATCCGGTGGTGGACCTTCACGATTATTTGGCCAATGAATTTTTTTTCCTTCAACTTCAAAAAATTGTTGTGATAATGAATCAAAGATCATTACGGCTTCAAAATCACCGGTTATTGGATTCATATCGAACAATGTATAATCAACTAATCGATCACCATTTGAATCGATGGTTACATTGCCAGCAATACCGGTAAATGTACGATTCCAGATTTTTCTCGTTATCATTGTTCCATTAATTACATGATGACCTTCAGATAATGTGTCATTCAATCCCAATGCATATATATGAACCGCTTCGTGGAATGCTGTTACATATGTGCTAACCTATGATTTTTTTTTCAGGGGAAAAAAAATCATAATTATATCCAAATTATATGATGTTATAACAAACGAACCTCTTCACGTCCATAATTAATATCAAATTCATCACGTGCAATTTTCTGTACAGATTCTAGAAATGAATTAATAGTAGATGTTTGAGGCATTTTCGGTGTAACACGTATCAATGCTGTATAAGCTTCTTTTGCAATGAAATTATTTTCCATTGTATCATCTTCACGTTCCCAAGGACGTTGTGCAGCATCCAACCTGATTTAGAAAAAAAAATAAAAAAATAAAAATAATGGAAGCGAAAAAAAAACATTAAAATTTTTGTGGCTAACATGTGGACATGTAACAAAATGTGTCTAATTTTCCTCTCTTTTTTTCCGTTTGTTATCGCTAATAGAAAAAAAACTTTTTTTTTCAATTTTAAACTAGCATAAAATGTTTTTCATTTGGAAAAACATGGATTCCACACACACACACACATACACAGCATCATTAAACAATGAACTAAAAAGTTTTTCTATGTTATGACTTTGTAATAGATAGAGAAACAAGAAAAAAAACATGGATTGGAAAATTCAAAGGAATAAAAATGATGATGATAATTATAACGAGTTTGCCGGAAGTTGAATGTTTTTTTTTGGAAAAAAAGAGGAAATATTGTGGAAAGAATATGAAAACCACTCACCCTGTAGTCAATTCAACATTGATGAATACATATTCACCAGTTTGAATCATTTTTAGTTGATAGGCAGCAATCATTATCTTGCGGACGGTCTCTTTTTTGGCACACATTATGATTACTGGGTAATTATTATTATGGTTTTTTTTACAGAGAGACAAAGTGAAAGAAATGAAAAAAAAGGAAAGAAGAAAAAGAAAAAAAATTAGTATAATTAGTAAACGGAATTGTAGAATGGTTTCCACAAACGAAAAAAAAAACAACAAAACATTACAGCCACTGAATTCGTTTTACAAGTATTTTCAATTGGTTTTCGTTTTCAACACGATTCTTGTTTGATTTCGTTAGACATTTTTCGACATTATTTTTTTTTTTTTTTTGATCATTTTCACAGGAATGGGCAAGATTCGACATGCCAGAAATCAAATTTTTATTATGACAAAACAGAATTGTTCCCGAAGAATTTAACAAAACAAATTGTCCACTTACTTCTTGATTTCATTGATGCATCTTGAAGATAATCTTCATAAGCAAATTCTTGTTCTTCATCAAAACTACGTTTCAATTCCACTGCTTTTGGTCCCATTGACATGAAAACTGATGCTAATGAAAAATAACAAAGTGAATGACCTTTTGAACGGTCATTATGATCAGTGTATAGAAAAAATACTGTTTTCCAATTGAAACGTTGTAGAATCTGGTAAACATGAAATGAAAAAAAACAGTGAAAGAGAATATAAAGTAAAAATAAATAAATAATGAAAAAAAAATCAAGACAATTATCGAATGAAATTGTATCGTGTTTGAAATTTTCCGTACACCACACACACACACATAATTTGGATCGATATCAGTGACAGGCGTCAGAAAAATTCGTGGTGGTGGTGGCGGTGGTGATGGTGGGAACAGTGAAAAGCAATTAAATTTTTTTTTCTGTTGTTCTTTTTGGACCTTGCACGAAACAAACAAACAAACAAAAAAAAAATTGAATTGATCCGTTCAATTATTGATCAGCAAATAATATTTCAATATATACCATATAATGGAGAGCGTTCTATTTCTGAAAAATATAAAAGTTTTTATATTTTGTGTCACTGTCGACTGACAAGTGAAAAAAAAATTGAAATTTATCGCCATTTCAAAAAAACGGTGACAATAGCAGCCAACAAAAATTACACCTAAATTAACACTTTAAGAGTTGATGATGAAACTGACAATAATAACAACCAACCACCGCCAACACCGCAACTGTTCAAAAAAAAAACTGCTAAATTGACTGTATTTGACACATTTTTTTTAAAAACGGTTTTCATCATCATCATCATCATCATCAGATGATGTGAGAAAAAAAAATGAAAATTTTCACCAATGTGACAAGGCAAATTTTATAGGATGGATTTAAACCATACACAAACGAAAAGACTAGGTCTGAATTTTTTTCATCATTTCATAATCTCACTGAATTTTTATTTTTTTTTTCAAAAAAACTTAATGAAAATAATTTCCAATTAAAAAAAATTATTATTGTCAGATATACTATTTTTTTGAAGATTTATTGATGCTAATTTTTTTCTTTCTGCCCAGCAACTTTAATTAGTAAAAAAAAATTTAGTTTAGTTTAATTTTGTGCATTTTATTTTTCAATGATGAATGTGTATTCTGTGTAATTTAGAAGAATATATTCTAAATGAAAATGAAACAATAGAAGAGCATTGCTGCTGCTGTTGCTGCTGCTCTTTTGATTCAATTCTATTATTTGATTTGTTTCACTTCACATTTCTCTCTCTCTCTCTCTGTGTGTGTATGTATAAGTTTTATTACATTAAAACATATGATGATAATGATGATTATGTAGGTTGCTGGCTTTTAGTTTGAATTTGGTTAAAATCTAATTATTACTATTAGTAAAGAAATAGAATTATAGAATTCAATTCTGTCGTTGTTGTTGTTGTTGTTGTTGGCGTTCCAGTTGACTATAATTCATTGAATTTGACATGAATCTGTAGATTTTTTTTTGTTTTGTTTTTGTTTGTGTACAGATTAATGTATTCTGATTGTATAACGTTTATATTTGTGTGTGTGTGTGTGCTCATGTTTATTCAATAATTAGAGTTGAATAAAATGCGGAATAAAAAAACAAAAAAAAAAACAAACCTGATTAAAAAATTGTCCCATTCTTGAGAATGAACCATTCATTCGTGTCAATATACGAAATGTACTATTTTTATCATCAAACATTGATACTTGTCCTGATGATGTAATATGTGGTATATCCCAATAGCTTGTATAACGTGCAACCGGTGCTAATACATATGGACAAACTGGACCAAGAAAAACATCAACTTTACCACGTATATAATAATGAAATGCAGCCAATGGACCAATGGCTGATGAACATTGTGTATCGACAAAATAAATTTCAGCACCATGTTCCCATCCAAGATATTTATATTTATTTAATTTTGTTTCATCTTCTATTGATTTAACTGCAGCTATGATTGCTGGCATAATTTTATCCAATGAATATTGTTCATCACTACCGTATGGTGCTAATACAACAAATCGTATTGGACGTGAATTTTTTGTACCCAATAAATCTTTATTATTATTATGATCAATATTATTATTCGTAATGATATTGGTTGTTGATAATAATGGAAATGTATCATTCATCATTGAATGTTGATGTGGATGACGGCCAGGATGCCAACGCATTAGATAACTTGTATCAAGAAAATTTACATCTTTTATTAATGTCCATTTAAAGGCCATAACAATACTACCGGTATCAAATAATAATAATAAATTTGGTAAAATAAAAATTATGAAAAATGAATTTGTTCGTAAAAAAGAAAATGATGATTGAATTGATAATGTCGATGATGATAATGTTGATATTGATGTTGATATTGATTCTGATGCTAAAGATGGTGATGATGATGATAATAATAATAATGATAATATTAATAGAAGAGATATTAAGCTTTTATGATGATGAAAATGATGTTGTTTAGAAATTGGCAAAATTATCACTGATTTTATAAATGACGATAATAATGATAATGATGATGATGATGAAGTTTTTTTGGACTTGATTTTATCATTTGAAATATTATTATTATCGATTTTATGATCTTGATAATAATGTTGTTGTTGATGGAGACGAAAAAATGGATTGATACTATGAAGATGATTGTAAGGCATTGATAATAATGTTGATGATGTTAATGGTAATGATGGTAATGATGGTAATGGTAATGGTAATGATGATGATGATGATCGATTACGATGAATGATATATGACAGTTCAATTTCATGATGATTTTGCCAAATAAATTTGGACCATTTGTATGATTCATTCATTGTTGTTTCTGTTGTTGTTATTGATGGCCATTTTATTTTCCATTTTTCTTCTTTTTCAATATTTTCATCATCATCATCATCATCATCGTCATCATCATCATCGGAATCATCATCATCATAGTTGGTATTATTTTCGATAAATCTATATTCGTATCGATGTTTCAATTTCATTGTTGTTATTGTTGGCTGAATGGCTGGTTGGTTTGAAAAACTTTTTTTTTCACTCCTATCTATACACGTTTTTATTCTATAACGGTTAATGTTTTCCAGAATTCAGTGTTTGTTATATTTGTCGCGGACAGATAGTGAGAATAACAAACAAACAGAAGAAAAGAAGAAATTTTTTTTCACTACAAAGTTTTATAGTTGTTGTTCAATACAAGTGATAATGTTGTTTATTTGTCGTAGCGATCATTATCATCATCATCATCGTCGTCGTCGTCGTTTGCCACATATACAAGTCAATCAATAATTTAAATATATGCAGAAATTAGATTCCTGGATTCTGGAAAAAAATGGAAAAAAAAGAATAATGAGAAAAAAGAGAATTCAAAGAAAAAAAATGATACAAACAAAAAACTTAATTTGTTAAGAAAAAATTCTTTATATATTTTCTTCAGCGATTATTATATGATTTATAATATGAATAATAAACTTCACAGCTGATGTGTGTGCGTGTGTTTGTGTGCGACAAACCGCAGTAAAAAAAAAACGTCATCATCATCATTGTTGTATTGGAAAGTTGAGATAAATTGAAACATTTTTTTTTGTTGTTTCGGATTTAAAATGACCAAACACGATAATCTGTTATCATTATCGTCATCATCATCATCATCATCATCGTCATCATGACAGAAAGTTTATTAGAAGAAGAAAAAAAACACAGGAAAAACTACCAGAAATAGAAATTTTTTTTTCTGTTTTGCATATGTAGAAAAAAAAATCAACCAGACCATTATCGTCAAGTAATTATTATCCGAATATAATTATGCAATGAATATAGGTCATGGCATTGAAAATTTTTTTTTGCTAACTACAGTACTACTACCATTGCTAAATATTGATGGCATTCGGTTGCAAACTTTTTTTTTTTTTTTGGTTGTTGTTGTTGTTGTTTTCATCATTTAATAGTTCAAATACAGAAGAGAAGAAAAATTGTAGAATATGAACATTAAAAAGATATAATGATGATAATAGATATCCACAGATGATGGGTCACGTTTATTAGACGTTTTCATTATTCGATTAGAGAGACCATATGATGATGATGAATAGCAAAAAAAAAAAACATAAAAAAAAATAATTATAACAAAAAATTGAAATGGCACCTTTTGGGCCATATTATGATGAATAATAACAAAAATGGGGAAAAACAATGTGGACCAACATAATGATTATACCGGCTAGTAAATGTAAATGATAATAATAATAATAATAATGTCGATTATAATTACAACGGTGTGTGTGGCCATTGAAAGAAATTTTTTTTTCTCTCTTGACCACAAACATACACGAAACGAATTTCGACTGATGACGAATATTATTATTCTATGAATGTTTTTTTTCTGCTTTTTGCATGAATCAAATAAAAACAAAAAAAAATCCACATTCACCGAGAATCGGATGAAAATTATTCTTGCTTGAATTTGTGAAAAAAAATTTTTTGTTTGTTTGTTTGTTTGTGTATTGTGAAAAGATAAATGATGTCTGTTTTTCTTTGATGATTGATGTATATTGTATTGTCTTGTATCGTATGTTTTCTATATTGCAAACGATGAAACATTTTGTATTGCATTTTGTTACAAGAATCAATATTGTTACTAGTTTCTGGAATAATAACAACAACAACAACAACAACAACAACAACAACAACAACAACGACGACGACGACGACGACGACGACAACAATAGATAAAAATGGATCAGAATATCGTAATTCGAGACACTAACCAACCAACCGACCGACTATAATCATCAGCCCATGACAACAACAACAACAACAACAAAAAGATCTAAAGATAAAGAGAAAAAAAATCGCTGAATAAATGAATATGATATGTAGATAAATTATTATGATTATCACCTTTGACGAACAAATGGTTCAGCCTTCAGACAGTACAGACACCAAACGATCATTATCATCAACAACAACAACAACGAAACAAAATTATAATCATGTTATTATTATGAATTTCTTGGAAGCAAGAATAAACAAATTTTCTTCAATTATTCTGTTGTTATTGAATAATGATTTTCGGATTCTATATCTGTTTATGTGTGTGTGTGTGTGTGTGTGTGTGTAAACTTTTTTTTTTCTTTTGATTCATTTATTTATCCTTGTGATCCATTATAGAGAAAACAAAAAGTCAAAGCTTATGAATCATGGTACAAAAACAAATCATGAAAATTTTGTATCACGTTATATTTGTTTGGCAATTTTTTTTTCAAAAAAAGTAAACATAAAAAAAACGACAAAACAAACTTTTGCTATTTCGCGTTCAGAATATTTGATGACAAATTGATGACAATGGATTCGTCGTCGTCGTCGTCGTCATAATAGAAGACCAAATAACAAC